TGAATTATCGAACCCAGGAGAGAGGTGGTGGGTGCTCTGGGAGGAACGGTTGGAGAAAGGACTGGAGGGAGGCAACATGTCTGGCCTGGCAGTAATAGGCCTTGGGTTACTGCTGGTAACCCTGTCTTCCCTTTGTGGAATTAGAGGAGGTCGGAACATGTGGCCTCCTTGCCATTTTTGCAAGAAGTTAAAAAAAAAATTCAATAGTGGAGTACACTGCTAGTATTTCTATAGAATATTTTGGTACAATGATTTAGCAAAGACTCCTCAACTGTCAGAAATAATTGTATTTTTGGACTCAGTAATCTGATTCTTAAGAATTTATCCGAAGAAAATAAATCAAAAGATTGTTAGTAAAGATGACTATTTTGGTATTTATAACTAATGAAAATTAGAGTCAAAATATCTAGTAATGGAGCAAAAAGTAATGAAATTACAATAAATCAAATTAATAGATTATGAAATTACAATAAATCAAATTAATAATTATTTTTTCCACTAAAAGCAATAAATAATGAAGATTATATAGCTACATAGAAACTAATTATTAAATATTAATTGAAACAGAGGAAAAACACAAAATTCTATACACACTATGATTGCTACTTTATAATATCAATTATTCTGCATTTTAAAATATGGCTTTCTCGTTAGCGGTTATTCTGGTTACCTAGTGCCGCTCTAACAAGAATATACCACAAATGGGATGGCCTTAACAAACAGGAGTTTATTCTTACAATTTGGAGGCTTTCAGTCCAAGTCCAAAGTGCCAGGCTCTAGGGGCTGGGTGAAAGCCCCTCAACCTTGGGGATCCAGCTCCACCTCCTGCTCCCGGCCCACTGGAGCTAGAGGCGTTTCTTCACTCAGACAGCTGCTGGCTGCTGAGGCTACCAAGCCCAATGTTGACAAGTAAAAAGGCACATTCCTGATGTTACTCAACCACACGGCAGGCCGTTAACTTAAGTCCACTGTAAATCCCAAGGTCAGCAGAGCATAGGAGGCTGCTGAGTGATGACAGGGCTACATGCAGGGTCCAAGCGTGCCATAGACTAGAGACCATTCCCAAGGCTTCTCCTTATATGTAGGAAACAGACCACATCCCAAAGGCAGCTACTCAGCTGCTTGTGGTAGATCTCACCATGCAGTTGATTGGCAGTCTCATCATGGGGATTAACTACCACCAGCTGCCCAGCCACTCAACCAGGCCCAGCCAAGTTGACACACAATATAACCACCACAGAGGTCAAATGCCTTAGGCACTACACTACCAGAGTTCCCATATTAAAAATAAATAAATAAAAATATTTGCTTTTAAGTTGGTAAGTAATGAGTGTATTTTCCTTAACTATTTTTGTCATGTGTTTGTAAAAAAATTTTTATTTTATAAATTTTTACAATTTTATAAAAGGCCTACAAAAGAGTTGCATAAATAGTAGAGTTCCTGTATAACCCTTCACTCACACTTCCATTAATTTTTATATCTTACTGTGGTAGCTAAAGTTATGTGTCACCTTGGCTGGGCCATGGTTCTGAGTGATGTGGCAGCTGAATATAGTTATTTCCCATGATGGGACTGAATGTGGTATAACCAACTCCATGGTAGAATCTGCTGTGAGCAGCTAATTAGTTCACTTTGGGGTGTGGCCTGCTTCCAGTATGTATCGAGAAGCTTTGAGCAAGATGTCCAGCTTTTTGGCACATGTAGATCCTGCATGTGGCCAATTCTTCATCTCCAGTTCCTGGACTTGAGCCAGTGACCTGCCATGTGGCCTGCTGATTTTGGGATTATTCCTAGACTTAAACCAGTGGCCTGCCATGCTGCCTGCTGATCTTAGGATTGTGCCATTTTACCTGCTGACCTTGGATTTGTCAGCTTCAGCAGCCAGTAGCTGTATGAGTTAGGAGATGCCTCCAACTCCCATAAAAGAAAAATACCAAACTCACTGCCATCAAGTAGCGACCCCTCCTTGGGTTTCCGAGGAAGTATCTCTATGGAAGTAGGTTGCTCAGTCTTTCTTCTGAGCAGTGGTTGGTGGGTTTGAACTGCCAGCCTTCTGATTAGCAGTCAAATGGCTTAGGCACTACACCATCAGAGCTAGAGGCAGAGCTAAAGCCCAAGTTCGAGGGGCCTATTCCCAGCCACTAGAGCCAGTACTCTGAATTTGACTTCTAGCCTTCTAAAGTGTAAGAGAATAAAACTGTGTTTGTTGAAGCCATCCACTTGTGGAATTTCTGTTATAGCAGCACTGGAGGACTAAGACACTTACATAATCATGGCACAATGATCAAAACTAAGAAATCTCACAAGAGTACAATACTATTCATGAACGAAATTATAGACTTTATTTGATTTTCAACAGTTTCTGTTCCAGGATCCAATGCAGAATCCTACACAGTTGTCATGTCTCCTCAGTCTCCTCAAGTCTGTGACAGTTCCTCAGTCTGTCTTTGTCTTTCATGACCCTGTAAATTTCCTCTTCTTAAACATTTGCCCAATAATTTTAGCATCCATCCATGGATCTTACCTGTATTAATTACTACTGTGGTATTCTAATGATGATTTCCTAATACCCTCATTTCTTCTACTTTATTAATTGGAATTCTTCTGTAGGCAAGAAATGCCCCTTCTCCCCCAGTGGTTTACTTCTTCAACTATTTATTTATTCATTTATTTATGAGTGTTATGGGTTGAACTGTGTTCCCAAAATGGTATGATGAAGACCTAACCTCAGGTACACATGAATGGGATCTTTTATGGAAATAGCATTTTTCCTGATATTAGTCAACATGAAGTCACACTGGAGTAGGCAGACCCTAATCCAATATGACTGGTGTTCTTATAAGAGACAAGACATTGAAACACAGGACAGAAAAGATAGTTATATGGAGACAGAGGTATATTAGAGATATGCTGCCACAAGCCAAGGAAAATCTAGGGCTACCAAAATCTCAAACAGGCAAGGAAAGATTCTCCACTGGAGCTTCTGAAGGGAGAGAAATTCAGCTGACAGTTTGCTTTCAGAGCTATGAGAGAATTAATGTCTATTGTGTTAAGTCACCCATTTTGTGCTCCTTTATTTTGATAGCCCTGGAGAAATAATAGGAGCTCTGGTAGCATAGTGCCTAAGGCACTTGACTGCTAACCAGAAGGCTGGCGGTTCAAACCCACCAGCCACTCCTCAGAAGGAAGATGG